AATTGCACGTAAACGTAAATTCAATCAAATAAACCTTTAACAGTGACGGCGATGACCGTCTCATTAAAATAAAACTCTAAAACTTCAGTACTAGTAGCTCTACTACTAACAAGACAGAAACCAATCTTACAATATCCCTGAAGACCTCAGCTTTCAGCTGGCTCTGCTACTGATGAGGCAGAGACCAATCTTACAATATCCCTGAAGACCTCAGCCTTCAGCTGGCTCTACTACTGACGAGACAGAGACCAAAATAACAGTATCACTGAAGACCTCAGCCTTCAGCTGGCTCTGCTACTGACGAGACAGAGACCAAAATAACAGTATCCCTGAAGACCTCAGCCTTCAGCTGGCTCTGCTGCTGACGAGACAGAGACCAAAATAACAGTATCCCTGAAGACCTCAGCCTTCAGCTGGCTCTGCTGCTGACGAGACAGAGACCAAAATAACAGTATCCCTGAAGACCTCAGCCTTCAGCTGGCTCTGCTACTGACGAGACAGAGACCAAAATAACAGTATCCCTGAAGACCTCAGCTTTCAGCTGGCTCTGCAACTGACCAGACAGAGACCATAATAACAGTATCCCTGAAGACCTCAGTCTTCAGCTGGCTCTGCTGCTGACGAGACAGAGACCAAAATAACAGTATCCCTGAAGACCTCAGCCACTGCAAATTTGTCGTACCATCTGCATTTACTTGTTTGAATAAAGCATTTCATCCTCTTCAGCATACTGGTTTGCATCAAGGTTGCCTTCTCTGAGTTGTCGTAGCATGTTCTGAACTTCTTCGTTTCCTTTTTGCTCTATGTATGCCCAACTGTTATGCGACACTCGGAGAATTGTTTTGTACAGGATTTCTGCTGAAATAATCGACATGCGGAAGACTACTTCCTTTTCAAGACGAATTTTCAGGCAGACATTATTCATTGCACCAACTTTATCGCCTGTTGTAATCATGCCACTAAAATCTTGCAATATAACTTCAAGACCCACGCGATGTTCTTCAGGTACTTCAACTTCTGTGACTAAAGCACCAAAATCTTCTGAAACGCGATTTATGCCAGGCAGCTGACGTCGCACAACGCGTGATCCTTGACGATCTGTTATGGTGGCGAGACTTTCATCCTCAAAAATATTACGCCCATCAAAACATCTCGCCAGAAACAAAAATAAAATACATCGGAATATCAACACCAGAAATTTTCGCATAACAACCCGTAAACTTCTTTGTAGCCTTAATTGTAACGTTAGCTAGTCTTTTCAAAATAACATTGCAGCTAACAACCTTATTATCAAATAAGTAGAGGAACTTATCAGATATCAATGATAAATCAGCTCCAGTATCAACTAAACAGAAAATATGATAACCATCAATTAATATTTCGGTGGACCCAACTGGTTTCCACTAGAACAAAGTTTATGTTGCGATGTTTATCAATAGCAGCTTTTGTAAAGCAATTCGATACGCTGTGACCTTTCTTAGCACAAAAACTGCAAATTTCAGAACTCTGTGATGTACTCGGTAAGTCGCGTTGACTTACAACGTTGTATCTGTCGTCTGACACTAACTTGGTTTTCTTGACGCAATTTGCTTTAACGTGTCCCAATTTCCCACACTGAAAACACTTCTTAGAATTCTTAGAAAAGACATTTTTTTTGCTTATCAACACAAAAATATTTCCTTTTGAATGAAGAAGAGTCTGTTTCGGCACTGTTTTGCTTGTCATTACATGGATGCTTAACGAAAGGTGACAAGAAAACCAATAATTGAGAAATATTTCTGCAGTTAGCATTCATCGCGGCATTGCGCACTTCTAGTTGAGAAATTCCGTAAACTATGAGTTCAACCAGATCGCTTTCACACCAATTTGCACGTAAGTTCTCGAGCATGGCTGATTTTTCATGCACATAACTTTCATAAGTGTTGACATAAGAACTATTGAATTTTGTTGCCTCCTCCAACAAACGCCCCAAATTTCTTTTTGGCTCAATGAAATCATTTCGAAAGGTGACCCAATCCCTGTTATCTGGGTTCCAACGTTCAAACCATCTTTTGGCACCGCTTAGCAAAAATCGACCAATCCTTGCCAGAGTTTGCACGTCAGACCATCCAACTTCCTGCTTAATAGTTTCAATTTGACTTACCCATTTACTGGATTCATTTATTTCGGGTCTAAAATAGGGCAAGTCTACCTGTTCTGCCGACCTTTGGGACTGCAGGGCCTTCACCAATTCTGTTACCAGCGACTGGGCGGGGTCTTCGTCCGTTGAAGCCATTGTTGTTTCCTTACTAGCACCTCCAATACGTGATCCAGACACGCACCACGGCTCAACTTTCAAACTATTGCGAAGTAGTCCCAACGCTGGCCCGATTTCCTTTGTTCTCGCAAAACAACAACAACAAAAACGCCAATGTTTACGAACAAATCACAATCCACTGTGGTTGTCGCGGGCGAATCTCACTTCTGATGTTAGAAACAATGGGGAAGAACACTAGTTTTGGTTAAATACACCTTTATTACGAACAAATATTGTTTATCGATATAACTGAGCGGCAGGGAATCCGGGCACGACGCGCACCGCCCAACGTTTCTGCTCAGACTGCCTGTCGACGGCTGGTCGAAGTGATAACAGCAGATAACGCAGCAGTACTCCCCGTGACCGGCAGCGGCTCCCGAAAATTCTCGTTGCTTACAATACAATAGATACCTCCCCACTACTACAAGTTTCCTTGAAGACACATTCTCTAACCTTCCCGAGCACTCTATTTTACAAGACGTTTCCGGGATAGAAGAATCACGTCCCGATGCTACAGTACTAGAACGAGAACGTGATGTTGACGAGCAAATGATGCTCACACACGGGAAGAGTTTCGGCGCCTAAGCAAAACACCTGGTTATCAAAGTTATTTAGAACAGTTCCATCCATTACCTCGTCAATATATCGATGAGTCCAAATGGGGGATGAAGAGAATTTTGATCGATATCACGGTATAACACACGATTGGATCGGCGAAAAATTAAAATTGGGGAATACCCCAATAACCCTCGAGGAGTCGGATCTAATCTTAGACAATATCAGATATCCAGGAACGCCAGGTCTGTACGAGTTGTTGTTCAAGAAAGACCCTCGTGGATATAAACAGACCGATCTGGAGCACTACATGGATATGCTAAAACGGACCAATGCATATCGACGTAATTTTGATTCTAATTTACAAATTCAAGGAGTAAACACTTTCAAGTATAAAACAATAATTCGACCATATTTAGTAAAACACAATCTAATAAAAGTATCCGCTGAGGGTGCAAGCAAACGGGGTCTTTTCAGAAACCGGCACCTCCTAAAGCTCGACCCAGATCACAATCATTCAAACATGTAAGGGGTGGTATATTAGAGTATTCCCCTAAACCAATTGAGTATGTGTATTTTGATGATCCCAATGAGTTGGTCAATCGATTGCGCTTGCTCATCGCATCTGCGTATGCTGGTAATAACGGGCTATAATAATGAAATCATGTCTATAATTGAGGAGTTGCGCGAATTAAAAATTATAAATGAAGTTGTAACGTAATATTACTCTACTAGCGCAGTTTCTGGCATGCTAACGCTATGCCAATATTGTACGTTGATGTCTTATTTAAACCTCACGTAGCGCAGTTGCTGGTATGCTAATGCAATGCTAGCGATAACTATCTCTAATCATTTTTTTATCCTTTGGCATCTTGATCTGGTATCTGGTATCAGGTATCTGGTATCTGGTATCTGGTATCCGGTATCCGGTGTCTGGTATCTGGTATCTGGTATCAGGTATCTGGTGTCTGGTGTCTGGTATCTGGTATCCGGTATCCGGTGTCTGGTATCTGGTATCTGTTGTTTGGTATCTGATGTCTGGTATCTGGTATCCGGTATCTGGTGTCTGGCATCTGGTATCTGGTGTCTGGTGTCCTGGTATCTGATGTCTGGTATCTGGTGTCTGGTATCTGGAATCTGGTATCTGGTATCTGGTATCCGGTATCTGATGTCTGGTATCTGGTATCTGGTGTCTGGTATCTGGTGTCTGGTGTCTAGTATCTGGTGTCTGGTGTCTGGTATCTAATATCTGGTATCTGGTATCTGGTGTCTGGTATCTGTATCTGGTATCTGGTATTTGGTATCTGGTATCTGATATCTAATCTCTGGTGTTTGGTGTCTGATGTCTGGATCTGATAATCTGGTGTCTGGAATCTGGTATCTGGTATCTTGTATTGGTATCTGGTGTCTGGTGTTTGGTGTCTGGTATCTGGTATCTGGTGTCTGGTACCAGGTATCTGGTATCTGGTATTTGGTATCTGGTATTTGGTATCTGGTATCTGATATCTAATATCTGGTGTTTGGTGTCTGAATGTCTGGATCTGATATCTGGTGTCTGGTATCTGGTATCTGGTATCTGGTATTTTGTATCTGGTATCTGGTGTCAGGTATCTGGTATCTGGTATTTGGTATCTGGTATTTGGTATCTGGTATCTGATATCTAATATCTGGTTTTGGTGTCTGATGTCTGGATCTGATATCTGGTGTCTGGTGTCTGGTATCTGGTATCTGGTATTGGTATCTGGTATCTAATATCTGGTGTTTGGTGTCTGATGTCTGGATCTGATATCTGGTGTCTGGTATCTGGTATTGGTATCTGGTGTCTGGTATCTGGTGTCTGGTATCAGGTATCTGGTATCTGGTATTGGTATCTGGTATCTGGTATCTAGTGTCTGGTATCTGGTATTTGGTATCTGGTATCTGGCATTTGGTATCTGGTGTCTGGAATCTGATGTCTGGTGTCTGGTATCTGATATCTGGTATCTGGTGTCTGGTGCCTGATGTCTCGTGTCTGGTGTCTGGTATCTGGTATCTGATATCTGGTATTTGGTATCTGGTATCTGGTGTCTAGTGTCTGGTATCTGGTATCCGGTATCTGGTATCAGGTATCTGGTATCTGGCATCTGGTATCTGGTAACTGGTATTTGGTACTTGGTATTTGGTATCTGATATCTGGTGTCTGGTATCTGGTATCTGGTATCTGGTGTCTAGTATCTAGTATTTGGTATCTGGTATCTTATGTCTGGTATCTGTATCTGGTGTCTTGGTCTGGTATCTGGTGTCTGGTGGTCTGGTATCTGGTATCTGGTATCTGGTATTTGGTATTTGGTATCTAGTATCTGGTATCTTAGTGTCTGGTGTCTAGTATCTGGTGTCCGGTATCTGTGTCTGGTGTCCTGGTATCTGGTATGTGGTGTCTGGTGTCTGGTATCTGGTATCTGGTGTCTGGCATCTGGTATCTGTGTCTGGTATCTGATGTCTGGTATCTGGTATCTGGTGTCTGGCATCTGTATCTGGTGTCTGGTATCTGGTGTCTGGTATCTGGTATCTGAAATCTGGTATCTGGTATCTCGTATCTGGTATCTGGTTTCTGGTGTCTGGTATCTGGTGCCTGGTGTCTGGTGTCTGGTATCTGATGTCTGGTGTCTGGTATCTGGTGTCTGGTATCAGGTATCTGGTGTCTGGTATCTGGTGTCTGGTATCTGGTATCTGGATCTGGTGTCTGGAATCTGGTATCTGGTATATGGTATCTGGTATTTGGTATCTGTTATCTCTTTATCTGGTATCTGGTATCCGATGTCTGGTGTCTGGTATCTGGTGTCTGGTATCTGATATGTGGTGTCTGGTGTCTGGTATCTGGTATCTGATGTCTGGTATCTGGTATCTGGTGTCTGGAATCTGGTATCTGGTATCCGGTGTCTGGTATCTGGTATCCGGTATCTGATGTCTGGTATATGGTGTGTGGGAATCTGGTATCTGGTGTCTGGTATCTGGTATCTGGTATCTGGTATCTGGTGTCTGGTATCTGGTATCTGGTATCTGGTATCTGGTATCTGGTATCTGGTATCTGGTATTTGGTATCTGTTATCTCTTTATCTGGTATCTGGTTTCTGGTGTCTGGTATCTGGTATCTGGTGTCTGGTATCTGGTATCTCGTATCTGGTATCTGGTATCAGGTATCTGATGTTTGGTATCTGGTATCTGGTATCTGATGTCTGGTATCTGGTGTCTGGTATCTGGTATCTGGTGTCTGGTATCTGGTGTCTGGTATCTGGTGTCTGGTATCTGGTATTTGGTATCTGTTATCTCTTTATCTGGTATCTGGTTTCTGGTGTCTGGTATCTGGTATCTCGTATCTGGTATCAGGTATCTGATGTTTGGTATCTGGTATCTGGTGTCTGGTATCTGGTGGCTGGTATCTGGTATCTCGTATCTGGTGTTTGGTATCTGGTATCTGGTATCTGGTGTCTGGTATCTGGTATCTCGTATCTGGTATCTGGTTTCTGGTGTCTGGTATCTGATGTCTGGTATCTGGTGTCTGGTGTCTGGTATCTGGTGTCTGGTGTCTGGTATCTGATGTCTGGTATCTGTTATCTTTTATAAGTTATCAGTTTTCATTTTTCATTTTTCTATTTTAATTTTTCATTTTTAATTTTTCTATTTTAATTTTATTTTTTAATTTTAAATTTCGATTTTCTATTTTTCTATTTTTCTATTTTTCTATTTTTCGATTTTCGATTTTTCGATTTTCGATTTTCGATTTTTCGATCTTTCGATTTTTCGATTTTCGATTTTTCGATTATTCGATTTTCGATTTTTCGATTTTTCGATTTTACGATTTTTCGATTTTTCGATTTTTCGATTTTTCGATTTTTCGATTTTTCGATTTTCGATTTTTCGATTTTTCGATTTTCGATTTTTCGATTTTTCGATTTTTCGATTTTTCGATTTTTCGATTTTTTGATTTTTCGATTTTCGATTTGATTTTTTGATTTTGATTTTGATTTTTAATTTTCAATTTTCATTTTTCATTCTTCAGATTCAGTTTTCATTTTTTAGTTTTCAGTTATCAGTTATTTGTTATCTGTTTATCTGTTTTCTTTTATCTGTTATCTGTCATCTTTTATCTGTTATAAGTATCTGTTATATGTTACCACCTGTTACCTGTTACCACCTTTTACCTGTTATCTGTTATTTTCCATATAGCATTGAAAATATCCTGTATACAATTGTATAACAGACTCAGATTTATGTGAGATGCCGGCAACGTCGCATGTGTTGTTGTTAATACCATACATGGCGTTATAAAATCTTCCATGTAGCAAATTGTATAGCAGACTTAGATTTATATGAGGATCGTCGCATAAATCTAGCTATAACACGACTTGCAAAAAAATGGCGCTTGACACTGACATATGTCAACCGTGTTCGTCTATGGATAGCAGTGGACTATGCTTTCTTCAGTGTATATGTTTTTCTGTTTTGTAAGTCAATGTCATTGTCATAGGTAATTTTTTCTAACCTGGAAAATGAAATGTATTTTGTTTAAAATTAAAATTCAATAACTCCTATTGTGAGATGGTGCATCTACAACATAATGAAAGGAAAATTAAGATTCTGAAAGTTAATTCCTAAATATCATAGTAAGGAAATCCGTAAAACTAAAAAAAAGTAAACATAAACACCTTGAGAAAAACTTCTTCCGTATCAAGTGGTTTAAAGTGGAGTTTTAAAACAATTTTTGTTGAAAATAAGGCCGTTAGTTTACAAGCAGGTATGTAACTGAGCGATCCGCTAATGTGTGTGTATCTTGCTTATAAAAATGCTGTATTTAGATATTGCTATTCACATGAGCTACCGTTCTTTGATAGGATATTTTCAAATTGAACTTTTGTCTTATTTTTACTATTTATTGCAGGAGAACAGTTGTTGAACAGGTCCTGGTGCATACTTATGTAGTTGTCACTTTGTGGATGGGAAAAAAGAAAATAGACCTACATTGTTTAGGTATAATAGGGAGAAGCAATTGAACTTTCCATCGCCAGAAAGAAGAACCCGTAAAATAACAACAATGTGAAATTGAACTCTATAATATGTTACTTCAAATTGGGCCCTTTTAAGGGATGTATGTAATAATTATGTGATCTGCAAAAATAAAAATAGTTTAGATTACAACACATGGCATCATAAATTATTTTAATGTAGAGTTCAGTACTCGTATAGGTAACTTTCACTCCCCTGGCAGGCTTAATCTAAGCGATATCACAAATATGTCTATACCAAGTTACGATTATACTGTGCAAGAGTACTTATCTTACAAATTTTGACAAGTAATGGTTGTCTGTTGTTTTGACAAGTCTTGGAAGTCACAAGTTCTTAAAGCAGCTACATTCTAAATCGATTTAGATCAAAATAAACAACTGCAGTGGCTGTGAAAGTATTAGTAATTTTGAAAACTTTGGTAGTAGATATGATTATCAATGCTATTTTTCAGCGCTTTGCATATTCCTTCATCTGCTTGATAATATT